TGTTTTGTACAGTTCTGCCAGACTATTGATCCGTGGATGACATATTGCTGTGTATATCCACCGTAGTAATTTGGTGTACACTTTTAATTCTTACCACCGATGGATTAACATGTCATTAAGGCTTTGGTTGCCTATTTTGTCACTTCTTGGTTGTGGGATTTCCATAGTAGTTTTTGGTAAAAGATTATACCCAAAAATTTTACCTCCCTTGCGGTTTTATTTCTAACCTATCTAAGCGAATGGATTTAAAATGTTTTACTTTGTGTAATCTGGTCAATGGAACAATGGTTGTTTTTGCTGGATTTATTTTCCGCCCAACCGAATTGCACGATTCTTTTGTTAGTGTTAAACATAACTGGATTCTTTCGCACAGAGTATGTTCAAATTTTCCTCTGTAGATTATTACAACATTATCGGCATAAATCTGAAATTGTAAACCATTCACATTCAGATTTACCAATAATTTACCCACTACGTGGGCACCCCTGCAAAGTATTTGCAAAGATATTTCCAGCACTGGTCGAAATTTCTACTCTCCTGATGTGAAGCATATTGCTTGAAAGTGTGCCATTGATTCATTTTCTATAAAGAGTTGAGTTTATAACCTCATTTGAAGTGTTATCAAAGGCTCATTATCTAAGAAAGCGCAAATTGCTATTTCTTTCTTTTCTATGCTGTCCTGAATCGTGTTACTTAGTTGATGCAGAGACATTTCTATCGACTGACCTGCCCTATAGGCATGTTGGCGACTGTATAGTAAAGTTTCTTTCAGTACAGTATTCCCGATATAGTTATCCACGACTCTTTCTACTACTTTATGTAGAAAGGATGTAAAGCAGATTGATGTTAAAGATTAAGGGTAGGATCCGGGTAGGCGGAAGTAAGGCTGCTGGCTTTTAAAAGCACCTTGTAGAGTCTTGACACCTCTGTTATATTTTTTATGCTTTCGCAGAATTTTTGAAAGCTTCTACTTTTTGAAGCCCTAATCTCTTTATTATATACAGTAAGCATTACCTATATTCAGATTAATCTCCTGTTTGTTTTGAGTAGTTAAATAGTCCTCTAACTGTATTGTGATGATCCTATTCACGGCTGTTGATAGCTGGGACAGCTAACGATCTTCCAGAGGTGTTACAACGCGATCAGCACGTTGGCCAATAAGGGGTATAGCAGAAATTTTTGTGGGATTGAGGAAGAGTGGACCTCATATAAATAAGGCAATCATTTGCGTAGCAGATTTGCTAAACGCATGGGGGAGGGTTTGCCTCATATAAATAAGGCAATCATTTGCGTAGCAGATTTGCTAAACGCATGGGAGAGGAGAGGGAAGATCAGACGTGTAAATTTTAAAGAAAATGGGGCCCAATACTGAGTCCTGTGGGACACCGGCAGGGATGGAATGTTCACTAGAAAGGAATGAACCAATTAGCAAATTCTGTTAGATTTTTCGTCTCCTTTTATACGGTTTTCTCCTAACTGATCTTCTGCTGTTGTTGTAGTTGTGTTACTCTGTGCTTAGTGCATATGTTTGCGAATTGGTTTTGCACATTCTATAGCTAACCACATCCTTGGTGGAATTGATCGAGCTTAATAAACAGCTATCCTCATATTCATTTAATATGATACTGTTGAGATTTTCTAGGTTATTTTCTAATTGAATTTCATTCTGAATGATTTCATCTAGCTCTAATTGGACAAGATTGACTTTCATACTTTCCGAAAAGGCTTCCCAATTTATTATTTTGGGTTCCTTAGAATTTTTTGTTAATTAGTTAGCCTTCAATGTCGAACATTAGGATTCTATGATCAGACATAGAAGTTCATTGGATACTCTTCAGTTTTTAAAAAGCTCACAAGCTCAAGTAATTCTTTTAGTAATATCTGAGACCTCTTTGCGTAAGTTAGTTACAAATGTTGTTGTATTGCCTACATTACATATTTCTAACACATCTTGTATTAGTGTTTGTGCTTCCCCATACTTCGTTCTGCGCGTTAAAATCGCAACTAGGTATGAGTGGCATCTTCGTTCTCTCTCGTACCTGAGTGTCGTTTCCTGGTATATAGCCTATAGCTACGACCACGTTCCGTAGTACTCCGTCGATATTGGCCGAAATTTATATGGCAATGAGTTCCCTAGAGAAAAATTCTGAAAGACAGATAATGTTAATACTAGTGTTTAATAAAATGCAGGATCTTGGTTTATCACATCCTACATCCCAAATTGTCTGCACATTTCTTGCAGTTAAACCACAGATTCGACCCCTGTGCATCCTGGGTTCTTAGTCCAGCACTATGCACTAGTAGTTCGTTGCTTTTGCATATTTGTAACTACCCGTTACTTTTCGAGTATGTATTCATTACACAGTATTCGTTACTGCGCTTTCGTTACTGCGTTTTCGTTACTGTGCTTTCGTTACTGAAGTTTAAATGCTTTTTTTCGGCAATAAAAGGAATTTTCAAAAGCATATATATTAATTATAAAAAATTATAGATTTAATAAATTAGAATTATTATTTTAGTGAACTGGTTGATCCGCATATTTTGCATTTAGCTTTTCACCTTCTACTGATTTCAAACGAATCCAAATTTCACTTTTTTTATATTAATATTTTTAAACATTTTTAATGAATTTGATAGTGATGAAAAAATTTTGTTCAAAATAAAGTAGTTATTATTATACCGCAAAAATAATTGCTTAAAAGTAATCGTTACCAAGTACTCGAAAGAGTAGTTATAACAAATACTACTCATTGGTAAAATGAGTATAAGTAACGAATACAATAAAAAGTTTGTATTCACTATTTCGGAATATATAACGAATACAAAGTAACGGATAACTACATTTTTGGTACTACTACTATGCACAAGTTCAATTTGAACGTGTCCTTGCAATAGCCGGTGATGCAACTTTTGCATGATGGAGGTTTATTTGTGCGATTTTAGTGCTGGTCATCAAGTAGTTATTATTCGGAGTCGTCATCCGGCTCCAAGTTTAGTAGGGAAATATCTAGGGTATCAATATTTTCACTTTTGTGAGGTAGCACACTGTTGTACTCTATCTTCTCACTCCTTGTCGCTTGCTCCTTCACTTGTTCCGCAACAGTTGCAACGTCCCTTTGCAAGTGTGGTTTCCCCAGTCGATTACCTTTCTTTTGCAGTAAACCCTACAGCCGTTGGTGTTGATGGCTTCCTGATACCGCTTGTCAATTCTGAATTCCAGAAATTCTGTAAATACTGATAATAACAATAAAAAACTTACTCTTTAAAAAATAAAACAACATATTTTATTAACTTCTTGGTTTTATGCTTAGCTCTCAAACTTGTCAACTAAGAAATTTATTGCAACGACCCGGACCATGACTGAGTATTACTATTCGGTGGTTATTTGTTGCAATGTGAAATGATACGATTGGTAGTCTCGCAACTGTCTCATTTAATTTTCCTTGAAATTCGCACCAAATAGTAAATAAATAATCTAAATAATGTTCCGTATATGTTTTTACCCAAACTTTAAAAATGTATATGCTAGTATATGGATCTATCAAATATATCACATAGAGTATATAGAGGTATATACAGCTTTTATATCTTTCGTAGGTACACAATTCGTTAGTATGTATATTGTCAAAGAATTTTAAAAATTTTGTTAACTTATAATCAATTCTTAAAGTGAATTTTATCTAACATACAGGTTGAGTAATTCAATTGCATCAAAAATATACATATAGGTATAAATATATAAAATATATAAAATTAAAATAAAATGCAATTCAATTAAATAAAAACAAGCTTCCAACAACTCTCCTAGGTGGCGTGGGCAAACATAACAACAATTTCCACAGTCAACTGACTAAATTTGGTAAAACTTATATTGTTTTCGGAAAAATTTAAATTATTTATATATGTATACATACATATATAAATAAGTGTTAATTTAATTAATTACAAATTTTTCGTTCATGCTCGTTAGTATTGTACTCGTCGTTAGAATCGGTAGTATTCCCCCTTTAACTCCACAAGTATAACCAACGTCACACGGCTAGTTGATTTCTTGTTTTTACCATTTTCAATTATTTAAAACAATTAAAATAATTATTTTTTATTTTAAGTATAGAAATCTGCATTAATATCCGCATTACTCGCTATCTGTGTTATATTCACACTGGTTGTGATTTATATATATCAAACAAATTAAACTTTTTATAATTTATTATTTATTATCTACTAAAAGTTTTTAATTAAATTGTTATTTTGCCTGTCAGTGCACAGTTGCTGTTGATGCTTTGCATAATTTTTATTCTCATAAATATGCATATGTACATATGTACATATATACATATATGTATACATATATATACATATACATATACATATATATACATATATGTATGTAAATACACCATGTCAAATTAGAGTTTACACATTGAAATAAAATTCACTTTTTTTTTTGATTATCAATTTTTAATAATTATTAAATTGAGAATATGAATATAAAAAAAATTTCAGTAGTTTGTTGTAAAATAAACAAAATATACAACAAAAACAAATCCTACATTATTTTTTGACTGTCAAGTATATGTTTACACAATTGTGTATTCCTGTTATTTTGCATTATTTAAACGATATGCGGTAAATTTACCGTAATTGGCGCCTTGCGTTGTTTCTTGTCTGAGATGTTGAGATACTTAATATACATAGTTAATAGTTTAACTGTTTGTTAGACTGCTTTTATGAACTTCTGATGGGGCCTAATCACATCCAGGCCATTTATCAATTTTGGCGTTTAATTTGATAATAATAGTGATTAATATATTTGATTAAAATTTGATTACCAATTAATATTGAATCGGTCATATTACATTATTTTTAAGCTCCTGACTCTACATAAATGAATTATGTCGAAAATCAAAGTAAACAAATTAGAAAAAACTTTGAAACTTATATATAAAATTTTTTAAATTGACAATGTCAAAAAACAAAGTTTTATAATATTATTAATAAATATATAAATAAAAAGTTTGATATTAAACCATTTTCGAAAAGTCGTTCAAAATTATATTTGCTAAGCTGCAATATTTGTTTTAAAAAAATTTTTGCAATATGGAAAGAGAAATGTACAAAAGCTTTATGAACAGAACCACTATTGGCAACACAGAGGACCTCTATATAAGAAACAAAATAAGAACCCTTTTAGTGATTGTTACCTCACCTCATAAGCTAGTACCAAAGGACGTCATCATAAAACGAATCTGCGTAGCTTTAGATGTAAGTATATTTTTAGATATAAAGTGAGTAACTACAATATTTTAAATCAATCCTCTTTTTGGCATTCAGGTTCCGATAGAAGTCGTTGAAGATCAAATAGATGAAGCAATTGAATGGGCGCTATGTGCGGATAAAATCGAAATGCAACATGGGTCACTTATGAGGTGTCGAATCCTTGATTTTTGGCCAGAAACTGTAACAAGCGAAGTACAAACTCAAACAGCCGATGACGATGAAATACAAAGCTCACTAAATTTGAAGAAAATTCACCGTTGCCCTCATTGTCATCATAATTTGAATAAGAGACATTACAGTTCCATGATTTTCGATTCGTCATCCACAAAACAATGTAAACGGCGGCGTTACTAAGAACTATATGTAGGCAGAAGAATAAAACCAAAAATTTCTTAAAGAGGACAACTTGAGAACATACTTTTATTGGATTTGAAAGTTCGCTGTTACTATATTGCAAACATTAAAAAAAAGTAAATGACTATATAAGAAATCGTTCTTAAAATCAGCATATTAAAGTATATCGTAGATTAAGTTGCTATTGTCAGAAAATGTTATATACAAATTTTAAGCCTTTCTTACCAAAGTCAGTTAGAAGAATCTTACTTAAGAATGTTACCTTACAGTCTTTTAGGAAGAAAAACTTATTTCATTTTTTTTCGAAGATATTTCATACATAAAATTACATAAATCATATGTCACATATATTTATATACTCTAAAATATATGCGCATGAAATCCATTAAAAGATGACGTGGTTCCGAAATGTCTGTAGCAAAACAGAAAAAAGTTTAATGAATAGATTAATTATTGCACGGATATGTCTGAGTTACGAGTATATCTGATTGAGTGACTGACTGAATGCTTGAATCACTTGACTTGAATTAACTTGATTTGACTGATTAAGTAAGTAAATTACTGAATGAAATTTTGATTTCAGCTGCGTGCATAATTGTGTTCAAACTCAGTTTTGGTAATGACAACACCAACACCGCATAGAAGAGCTTCCCACAGTTTAAATTGTGGCAATATGATGACATCGAATCTGCAGCAACAACGACAGCAGCAAAAACGTGTACAGCCAGAGAACAGCATCATCAATGGATTTATGGCTTCATCCGCGCAAAGTGCACCACTTGACGAAGCAACAGTTGTTACTTTAACAATTGCTAGAATTGGTATTGGGTTGCAGCAATTGACGTAATTGTCGCAAATTTTTTTAAAAAAATTTTTTATTATGCCAAAATTATTCGTTTCTTAAGAGGAGGAATAATGAATTAAACTTATTATTGCTGCTATGAGTTGTTTTCTGTTTTGTCACACCATCAGCACTACAGCAACAGGCTAGATTGCAGCAATTGTAACATTCAATTGGAGTGCGGATTTGCCTCGCTATCTGTGTGCCACTATGCCAGTATGTCTATCTGTATGTCGCTGTATGAAATGAGGTAAAAAATAAATTAATAAATTAAAATATTAAAAGATATAATACCACAAAAGTTAAGGTTGGTAAATAAATTAATTATTTATATAAGTTGCTGCCGCTGCCGCTGCTGCTGACACCTACTTGCCTATATTAAGGTGATGAAAGTGTCTCAGTTTATAAAACTATAAACTTATACTATTCGAGCGTACTCATATCTTGTAAAATTTTTTATTAGTCATTTTGTGTATACAGTAATAATTAAAATAAAACAAGAACAAATAAATACCTTGCGTAAAAAACGTTATTCCTCCACTTACCATTGATAGCACCCTAATTAATTCTGCAAACTAAACTTTTATGGATATTTTACTCGAAAAAGTCATAACAGAAAAAAACAACTCCAAAATACACAAAAGTGCAAGCAACCTCTCTGATGTCAACTTGTTAAATGAAGTCTAAAATAGGTATATAGATTAAACATGACGATAAATCTCTTTTCAACAAGTAACTTAAGGTAGCAGAAGAAATGTCAGGATTTAACTAGGACCACTTTTTTATTATATATCATTTTGCTGAAGATTCACAATTAAAGTAATTTAGTTTCTGTGATCTGCAGGCCGCAGTCTGCAGGTGGCAGGCTGTAGACTGCAGTATCTTAAAACTAATCAACTTTAATCGCAAACCTTATGAGAATACAAGTTTTTTGTAATTTACAAATTCACGGGTTTTACAGCAAACCTCAATTGGGAGTTTTACAATTCTTAGATTTTAAATTTTTCAGTATTTTGATTTTTAGATTTTTATAATAAAATTTTGAAAAAGATTGTCGGCATTTCTGATTTATAGTATTGTCTAATTATTTCTGTTTTCATTGCTGGATGGCTGGTTTGTCAAACGCGTTCTTGAGTTTACTGTACAAAATCCACATTTGCTCAATAGTTAATATTACTGCGACAGTTTGCGGTGTTGTACGGCAGCAGTAAATAATGAAACCACGAAAATAGCTACATATTCCCTCTTTACGGCCGATTTGGATGAACACTTTTATCATATGTTTACCTTTCAATATGCCTTGCAGCTTCTTAGAGCCCGGAAGAACTCTTAACTTAAACGTTTCAATAGGCATATATGCTGCACATGCCATAATCGATGCAGCCAACCCAGCTGTTAGATGTAGCCTTAGTCCTTCAGCAATTTGTAGCGAACCATCACGTAAAATATTCTTTAGCTGGACATATGTCGAATACTCATATGACGTCATTATTACTGCTCTACTAAGCAATACAAATTTTTCAGTTTCCACTGCTCTGAAAACACAATCTATAACTTTTGAAAAGTCATGCTTTTTATTGTGACGAGTTCGTGATTTCGTTGCCATGGTCCTGCAACGTTGTCTTCCTGGATTTTGTACATTATTTAATGTTGTGGCCGTTGCTCTTGCACCTTTGAACAGTGGCTGGGTATATGTTGTTTGGTATTTGTTAAAGACATTGTAATTTAAGTAACAATTGGTAGACTGAATTACGTTATTTATGAAAGTACAAATGAATGTTCGAGCATGACATACCGGCATTAGTCGCCCATTGTTAATTCGATTCTCTGTTTCTTGGAGAGGTCTATAATCTCTACGATTAACATCTGTGGAATAATTGATTAAAATATTTTTATTGCCGCCTTGGAGTCCTATTGCATCAATACTATCTACTTCAGCTAATCGTTTATTCATACAATTGGCCATACTAAATAGTCTACCAGCCGCCATTACTTAAGCGATAAGAAGTCTCAAAGAACCTTCGCAAACCAAACAAAGAATATGAATTTTTAAAAAAATTACAGAATCCGGAAGTCAAATCGAATGCCCATAATTTTGGTAAACATATGAACAATCAAAAAATGTTATATGAAATTACATTGAAAATATTTTTGACGTTATTTGATCTTAAATTTCTAGCAAACTGTGGTCAAAATATTCAACTTTTATTAAAATAATTTAAAGTGTATTTTGTTTGCTGTCTCTAAAATTCTAAAATCCGGTCAAAAATCTAAGAAAAGCCAGTGATTTTTTCAACAAACACAATTCCATCAAAAAATCCAAATCTTCAACGAAATATACTCGTATTAGACTTCAGTCTTATAAATTTAGGGTGAACAAAATGTCCATTTAATATTTCAGAGAACATTTTTGATTATTAAAAAAAAACTGGAATATATTATATTTGATATGATCTATGAATGGCCAAGACAGTATTTTAAGTAGTTTTATTACAGGTTCATTTCTAGTAATAGACATAACTTCAACGGAAGTTAATTGTCTAAAAAATAGTTTAATAAATCTCTGATTTCTTCACATTTGGAATTGTAAAACGACATTTAAACACACATATCTTTGTTTGAAATGATCATCGATTACTTATGCATTTTCTTATACGATGTGTTCCGTGCTTTGTATTAAAATCGATAATAATAGTATTTCACAAAAATCGATTGTTGCGGCCTTAGACCTCCGAGGAACATGAAGCCTCTACTAAAATTATATATTTCGACAAGTTTTTTTTCATTTTCATGTAATGAATGATTTGTTTAGTTACTCTTGGATTTATTTCGCACCGAAATGACAATCACTCAAGAGGGTTTTATTCAAGAACAATCAATGTTCGTTTCGAAGATCCAATATTTAGTCAAAGCCGTTACAATGATGTCATTGTACAATCCAACTTATAATTTTTTGTTCTTTATTTTGTATTGTGAATTTTAGCTTAGAAGGAAAGCGCAATACTTTTTATGTTTAAATTCCTTAATCCTTAAGCCTAAATCTGTGACTGCACAGACGAGTACAGTCTTCCACTGAGAAAAGATTCCATAAAAAACAAAGTAACTACGACATTATTGATGTTTTTATTTTCCACTATGCGACATTCTGTTTTTATTTTAATTTGTTTCAATTTATTAGTGCCTATTATGAATTGTCTATCGCTGATAGACAGTAGAAAAATTTCTACTGCTGATAGACAAAATCAAATTTTGGTATTATGAAATGCAAACCGATAGAAGTTTTTCTATCAGCGGTAGAAGTTTGTCGATCGTATAAAATATATGCTGTTAAAACGCTTTATATAGTCAATTTAACATATAAATTTAATATAACTTAAATATTACTAATTAATAGTTAGTAATAATTCATTTAGATTTAATGTAATATAATATATATTTAATATATTTGATTTCAAGTGTAGTGTTATATGTATATTGAGAATAATGATTGTTGCATTTTTGTTTTGTTTTGTTATTTATTTATGTGTATTTATTCAAAAATTTTCAACATACGCAAGCATTTTTCAAATTTCTTAGATATACTGGCATGCTCTAGAATTCGAATCTGCATAAAAAAATTCGATTTCAATTTAAATTCACATTTTGGTGCTCTGCTTTTATCATTTCATTTGCGATTTCACAAATGAAATCGAATGAATTTGCTTGCTCTAGAAATCGAATCCGCATAAAAACATGTGATTAAAACCACATATCGAAATAGTTGTGAATTTAAAAGTGGTGAAAATAACATGTAAGTATAATTACATTTTTTTTGAATTAAATCAGTTTCAAGTTATGTAAATAAAGAAAATAATAATTTTGATATTTTATTTTTAAGGGGTAAACACAAGAGCACTGTGCAAGATGGAATCTTGCTAAGATTTATGGAGATGCATAAGGAAATTGCAACTGGCTTTGTCAAAGGCGACAAAGTGGCCACGGAGCAACTATGGGCAGAACTGACAGGAGAGCTAAACAGCCATGGTCCACCTAGCAAAGATATCCAGGGATGGAAAAAGGTAAATTGCATTTTTTTTTATTCTTTAGCATGATAACTTTTTATTCATGGTAATACAATTACAGGTGTGGCTCGACTGGAAGGCGATTGTTCGTAAAAAGATTGCGCACAATAATTCAGAAGCGCAATCTGAATTATTGTGAAGTAATCGTTATTTTTCGTTGTTTCATCCAGTATGAATTAGCCACCTACGTCGACTCATTCAAATCTAACGGATTGCTGCAATCTCTTAAAATCCGTCTTTTTATTTTTTCATTTGTGTTACTATTATTTTCAGCTGCCACCAATGCTAGCATTCCGAACATTTTATAAAAACTGTTTTTTTTTTATTTTACTTATTAAAATTTTAAAATTTCACTTAAGTATTTTGAATATTTTTCAAAACGGCAAAAATA